TGAGAAAGGGAGAAAAGTACCTCTTTCCCTACCTGCTCTATCCCATGCATAATCTTATAAACCCCAATCATGTCACCCCTCAGTCGTCATTTCTCCAAGCTAAAGAGCCCTAAGCACTTTAACCTTTCCTCACAGGGAAAGTGTTCCAACCCTTTTATCGTTCGAGTTGCCCTTTTCTGCACTTTTTCCAAAGCTATAATAGCCTTTTTAAGGTGTGGTGACCAGAACTGCACACAGTATTCCAAATGAGGTTGCACCATTGATTTATTTAGGGGCATTATGATATTGGCTGATTTGTTTTCAATACCCTTCCTAATAATCCCCAGCATAGCATTGGCCTTTTTTATTGCAGTCACACACTGTCTCGACATTTTCAACGAGCTTTCCCTCATAACTGCCATACTTTAGAAAGTCATTGGCAAGACACGTGCCTGCAAACCAGGTATCAAAAGTGCCCCCCCCCCCATGCTCATGGCTTCACATCCAGCAGCGGGATGAGTCACAGGGATGGGGGTGGAGAAGCATCTGCAGTGGAAAAGGCTCTTCTTAAAGGAAATTCTTCCTTGATTTTCTGTCTGGGTTTGGCAGCTACTGTCTCTAGTTAAGCTGCTTTTCAGAAGAGCTCTTCACACAGGCTTTGAGTATACATGTGGGCAAGATCTGCTGGATTGCTTTTAGAAACCAACGGGATTGGTAAGGCCAAAGAGAACACAAAATCACCCCTAGGCTGATCACTGCGTGTTACCTCCTCTCCGTTTCACATCGTTCGTCAAATTCCACCTCGAAGTAAGTTGCCCCCGGACAAAGGAAGACAGTGACATCATGGCAGTTGTTGTCATAGTTATGGGGCGATTCCATAGTCCATGTTCGCAGCACCACTGGTTGCTCTTGCTGCCAGCTATCCAGGTCCACCTGGCATAATTGGGGGAGAAAAATCAAAACAGAGCTGGGATGGAAGTCACTGCCCCAAAAGCTGAGCTGGAAATAATTCTAAATTATTGCTTCCCCAGATATATTCTGAACACCTAAAACAGTGATGGCGAACCTTTTAGAGACCGAGTGCCCAAACTGCGACCCCAAACCCACTTATTTATTCCAAAGTGCCAACACGGCAATTTAACCTGAATACTGAGGTTTTACTTTAGAAACTTTATTTCTACATTAACTTAAGATGATGCAAACAAAGTAAGGAAAGCAATCCCAAATGCTTTCATTTACTTATTATTTGGCAGAAAATTTGACACTTTAATGATGGTCTGGGCCTGGCTGGGGCGATGGCACGCATGCCCACAGAGAGGGCTCTGAGTGCCACCTCTAGCACGCGTGCCATAGGTTTGCCACCACTGACCTAAAAACTTCAGAATCGGGTCTAGCTTGTGTCCCTGCACAGCTGTAGGTCTTCCCACCATCATGACATATAAGGGCTTAGAAGCCTCCGATCCTGCTGTGGTGTTCATGCCATGTACTGGCCCCTCCTTTGTTTAGGCATTAATTGCCAGAAATGGAAACGACACCAGAAAGACACAGTTTTAATACGGTCAGATAGCTCTAGAAAATATTTTTTTCTGGATTCTCGGGGGTCAGATTTTTGTTGGGATTCTGTGGAGTGTCTCCTCCCATATTATACCGCACGCTGTACTTTAAGTTCTGCTTGAGACGCCCTGCTCTAATACCACATTTTATGGATGCACAATTCTCATTCGATTGGGGTGTTTTCTTGAAGTGGGGTGTGTGTGTGTATCTTTTTCTCAGTCAAAGTAATTTTTATACATATATGGAGATTTCTTCAAGCATGCAGAAACTCCAGTCACGGCTGTGGGAGACCATGTTTGGCTGCCCGACCAACAAACACAGGACTATTTGGAGGAGGGGGGAGGTGAAAAATCAGATCCCACTGCATCTGAAAAAGGATAGTGTAGAGCTTGAAAAGGTGCAGAAAACGGCAACCAAACTGATCAGGGGGCTAGAGCGACTGCCCAGTGGGGAGTGGTTAAAACACTTTGGGTTCTTTAGCTCAGAAAAAAGGCGAGGGAGGGGAGACATAAAATCACGCATGTCGTGGAGAAAATGAACAAGGAGAATCTTTGCTCTCACTCTCTCAAAATACCACAACCTGCAGCCATCCACTTAAGCTGAAGGGTGGGAGTTTCAAGACAGTCAAAAAGGAAGTATTTCACACAGCACATAGTAAAACTACGGAACTTGCTGCCACAGGATGGGGTGATGGCTGCCAATTTGGAATGGCTTTAAAAGGGGAGTGTACAAATTCATGGAGGATGGAGCTATCAATGCCTACTAGTTATGAGGGCTATCTACTCTCTCCAGTGCCAGAGGCAGTATGTCTCTTGGCTGGGGAGCAGGGGGTAAGATGCTGTTATAGCCCTCCTGCTTGTGACCTACCTGGAGGCAGCTGTTCAGCTAATGTGTGAACACAGTGCTGGACTAGATGGGCCTCTGGTCTGACCCAGCACAGCTCTGACATTCTTGTCCTCCACAAATTTCTTCCTTCAGGACTCTAAAAACTCTATAGAGGGCTCGAGCAGGCTGATTTCCCCTTCTCCCCCCATTTCCCCCTCTTAATTTACTCAACGGCTTTGAAGGATATTCAGTTCTCATCAGATCACCTTTTTAAATTTGTTTTGCCTTTTGGCTCATTCAGAAAGTCATATTTTTCTGCATCCCTGGAGAGTTCCCCTCAGTAAGCAGACATCCCCCTTCCTTATCTGCGAAAGGCTTGATTTGCTTGATGTTTTTGTAATTGGCATGGGAGGGGGCCACTCATTATACTATTAGATCTTCTTGTTGAAGATCATCACTATATATCTAATATAAGACTAAAGTGTTCAACAGAACAGTTCTTGAAACAAATGCCACTAGAAACGTCTATCTGCATCCTTTTTGAAGGCTACCTTATCCTGATTCTCTCCAGGCTCCATCGACAGGTCGTTCAGTTGCTTTGTCAAGGTGCTGATATCCTGCAGCAGGGCACAGTGTGGAATGTCTAAAGCGCAGAAGTCCTGCAGGACGGTCATCTGGAGAGCATGCACAAGACATCCCGTTAATATTATGGGTTTTTATACCGAGCACTTAACTAAGACTACAGGGTGCCACAACAGCCCAGCCAGTTCACTCACCAGCTGGCGAGTTACCATCGCAAAGACAGAGTTGCTTAATTTTTCCATTATGATCTTTCCATTATGGTGGGCCAGGAGAGATTCTAAAATTTTCCTGATGCTTGACAGGAACAGCTGTACATCTAGAAAGAAAAACACTTTAGCATTCTAGCACTTTAACACTATGTTTGATTTTAACACTGTTTTTATATTGCAGTATTACTATTTATTAGGAACTGTATGAGTGTAATGAATCGTGTTTTATGTATTATGAGAGCTTCTATTCTGTTGTAAGCCGCCCTGAGCCAGCCTAGGCCGGATGGGCGGGATAAAAATCAATCAAATCAAAAAGATCAAAAAGGGACCAAGGTATGATACACTGGTTATTTTTTTTCTTATTATCACCTCATTAATACCGGTAGGCTCAATCTATATACTAATAGCGAAGTCGCCCCCATGCGTGCGTATACCTAAATCTGCGCATCGGGGGCACCTGGGGGGAAGGGAGATTTTTGTGCACACTTGGGGCAGTCCCCAGGTGTGCACAAAAATCTAAAACCCCGGAAAAAATATCAGGGGAATACTTAAATCCCCCCAAAAGTAACAGAGCGTCCCCTGCGAATACGCAGGGAATGCTCTACGAACTCCCTCGCCACCGCTGCTTGGGGGGGGGGAAGGTAAGGGGGGGAGATCGAGCGGGGGGAGATCGAGCGGGGGGGTTGAGGAGACGGGGGAGGAACCAGCGGGATGGGGGGGAACTTACCTCCTCCTGCTGCTTCCTCCTCTGCCTCATGTGTGGAGGTCCCCCCCCCCGCAAGTATCGCGGGTCCTGCCCCTTGTAGGTTACTATCACACAGTTCTATAGAGGGAAAATCCCGACCTGAAAAGGGGTTGCATCAAATTCTTATGTAAGTTGCTTCTTTGCCTTGATACCTACATTTTGTAAGGATTTCTGTGGCGAGGTTCTTTGGTGCCGAGTCACTGCCTTTGAGCTGCAAGTAGCACCAGGAAAGGAGGCTGCCTTGTACAGACCAGAATAAGGATGAGAGGACGGAACTGCTGTCTTGCTGGGCCATACCCAACATCAGCATGTCACACTGAAAAATTAAAAAGTGGGAAGTTGTTAGAAAAAGAGAGATGGGTGTTAGAGGTTTTCTATAAATACAACAATTTGTTTCAGGTTTCTATAATCCCAGTCCTATTACATTGCTTATTTGAGGTTCCATCCTATTCACTGCATTGACTTGATCGACTTGTACGGTGTAATCGGTCTTGAGTCTCAGGAAGAAAGAAGAGACTGTAAAGTATTCCTACCTCTCTCGATGCCACCAACAGAAGAGTCTCCATCACTGATAGCACTTGACCAACATCCAGGTCTGCAGAAGTTCCCTTCTCTGGTAAGAGCAAAAGTCCACCAGGATCCTGATCGCTACCAAAGAATGAACATTTTGCAAGTGTCATATTAGCACAGTTTTGCATGTACACCTTGACCCTCATGCCAAACCCTCTTCTTCCTCTGCTACTGCACATTTTTCAGGCTTGAAACTGTTCTCAAGTACGGCAGGGCTCTTTTTGTAGCAGGAACTCCTTTGCATATTAGGTGACACACCCCTAACGTAGACAATCCTCGAAGAGCTTACAGTAGCCCCTATAAGAAGGTGTGTCGCCTAATATGCAAAGGAGTTCCTGCTACAAAAAGAGCCCTGAATTCAGTATCAAGTATGGGTATCACTTACATACACACATAACTTTACTGCATTAGCTCACAGCCTTGGCAAACAACACCGGGGGGAAACTACAATACAAGGAAAGGAAAAACTACAATACAAACAGTACAAACAATCTCAGTCTCAATTAAAACCCTTTAAATGACCGTTTAGGATTAAAACAAATAGTAATTAAAATCACAGCAAGAACAGAAAATGGTTTTGGCAGAGTCTTTGTCACCCATGCGATAAACTTTGCCATTTTTGCCAGCTTTTGCCGGCAAGCAATATCGTAAGCCTCTTCTGGTCTGATCTCCCTGAATATTGTATTAGAATATTCCTAAGATACCGTTCATGTTCTGCTACAAATCTTGGGCACTGGAAAACCAAATGGGCTAGGTCTTCAATAGATTTCTGGTCACAGGGACAGACACGTTTGTTATATGGAGTCCCATTATAACGACCTGTTAGCATTGCCAATTGTAAAATATCCAGCTGCGCTTTCTATGCTCAAAAATGTATTAAATTGGTGAAATAAGATGAAAGGATTGAAGGTGAGAGTGCAAGCTGCCTAAAGAGAGAAGCTGATCTCAGGGTACCCAATAGTGTAGCATCCACCTGAGCCCTTATATCCCAACAGTCTTTGTTTTATTCGTTGTTTTGCTGCTACTAGGTTTAGTATACGACTTCGCTATGGGTTAGCTTTCGCTTGCTCATAAGCCAGGGTTATGAGCAGTGTTCCCTGTAAGCTGAGTTAGTGTAAGTTAGCTCACAGTTTTTTAGCCTCCGGCTCACACATTTTTGCCTTAGCTCAGGAAGCATGACTCCAGAGCAAACTAATTTATGCAGTAGCCAAATCGCTCACTCACAGCTTTAATGCCAGCAGCTCACAAAGTAGAATTTTTGCTCACAAGACTCCATAGCTTAGAGGGAGCACTGGTTATGAGTATCACTGTTCCCAAGTATGGGTATCATCAAGATGCTACTTGGGATGCAAATCAAAAGTGGGGTACTGACTTCTGGTTTATGGCGACACGCAGGCAGTCCCGGGGATGAAAACTGCACACCAGCGTGTAGGAGGGGGTGCGACGGGTCGCGACCCCCCCCCCCCCCGGGCGTGCGGCAAAACCGCCTCCACGC